GTTTGGAGAAATCAGAGCGTAAAATCAATTAACTGAACAGAATCAGTTCAATTAACTTAATTAATTTTTTTATTTTATTAGTTACTGTAACAATAAAACATTTGGGTTCAAAGTGAACTGCAGTACTCAGATTACAGGTGCAGTACTCAGATTACACCTGCAGTACTCAGATTACAGCTGTCAGATGACGCAGAAGCCTTTTAATCCAGGAGGTAGCCCCGATACGAGCCGTTCAAGGTCCGCTCAAAAGTCTAGGAATTTCCAGCCTCCATCCCTTAAAGGCAAACATACACTGCTGAGGTTAAAGGAACAGTTTGGATCATGATGTGACATTTTTCTTAATAACATTTATCACGTTATTTGTTTCATGTTTAATCTGATATCGCTGATTTAGGAACTATTAATGCAAATGATAAAAGGTCACATTTTATAGGAATGCACTGCTGTTCGGTGTATTTGATTCAGGCCGAATTGAGGACTATTGATTAAAGATTGATAAAAACTCTTTGATCAAACTGTATTTTACAGTCTGACAGGAGGGATTTTAAATGTTGATATTTGTGACTGGAGTTTGGCGGGCAGAGAGGTTCAGCTGTTTCTTCACCTAAACACAAACACCCCGCTGAAGTACGGAGGCCCGCACGGGACACGCACGTTTTCCGCTCATTAATAAAGCAGTGAAGGACGTGACATCGATACCTGCGAGCTCCAACCCGCGTCAAGTTACCGGCAGACATTTAACGCAACACCGGAAACACAGGCCGTGCGATTCCACAATAAAAGCGCAAGAAGTTCGAGAACAAACTTTACAAAATGACAATATTTAAGTTTTTAATAAGAATAATCCCAACATTGCTCAGTTCAGCTTTAAAGGAACATCTCAGTACAAACACAGTGGGTCCAAAACCTCACATCATCGATTTATTTATTAATAATAATATCACTATGATGTTTGATTTCTTGTAGTATTTATTGCCTTCATTATTCTGTTTATACAGTTTAAACGTTTAAACGTAAAAGTGCTGTATGTATGCACAGAAATATTTATCCCAGCATCCTTTGCACTATTGTTTTACTGTCTCACACAATAACAATAAAGTGGTTAGGAACTACAAACTCATCAGTTATCAATACATTCATGATCAAATCATTTAAAGCATGTTTTTAATCAATAACCTGCTGATTTCATGGGGTATTTATTCCTTCTTTGTTCTCTTATTCCTATTATTATTATAATTACTGTTATTATTATTATTATTATTATATTATTATTATTATTATAATTACTGTTGTTGTTGTTATTATTATTATTATTACTTTATTATTATATTTATTGTTGTTATTATAATTACTATTATTATTATTAATTTTGTTGTTGTTGTTGTTGTATTGTTGTTATGATTATTTTATGATTAATTATTATTTGTGCTGTTTTGTTGATAGAATGCTGTCTGTTGTTACTCTCTTATTTTCTATTCTGTTAATGGTATTATTCTTATTATTACAATATTTTATTCTATATATATTATATTATATTTTATATCTCTACTATTATTATGATTATTATTATTGGTATTATTATGATTGTTGTTGTTGTTGTTATTATTATTATATTTTATTATAATCTGTTATTATTATTGTTGTTATGATAATGATAATGAATAAAATATTGTAATAATAATAATAACAGAATAGAATAATAAGAATAACAACAACAATTATTATTATTATTACAATATTTTATTCTATTCTGTTATTATTATAATATTATTATATTATATTTATATCTCTACTGTTATTATTATTATTCTATTCTATTATGTTAATATTCTTATTATGTTATATTTTATTCTAATCTGATATTATTATATTTTTATTTTCTTTTTTATTCTATTATTTTCTATTATGTTATTATTATTATATTATTAAGTATCAGTATTATTTTGTTAATTTAGTAATATTGCAATAAAATAAAATGTCTAATAAAAATATTGACATGCACATTTTTTGTTATCTAACATTTTCTTGATTTAATAATTTTATCATTTCTTAATGCTTTGCCAATAAAGCAAATTTAATTTAATTTAACTGATAGACTGACAGTACTCTTTTAACCACAACAGGAAACTTGCAGCCGAATCACATGTATTTATTCATTCTATTTGTAAGGGACGATGTTCGATATTAAACATAAATGTTACCCATAAGACAAGATATTAAAGAAACAGAAGGCAATATGACAGGATATATATAAACAAGATTTTAAAATACATCCCTTGCAGGTACAGTGCAGGGCAAATTCTGAATGAATAATCCCATGTGTAATCTCATAAAAAGAGCTGTGGCAGACAGAGACATTTTAAGACTCAATTTAAAAGAACTGAGAGTTGGAGCAGACTTCAATATGTACTGGAAATACACAAAGATACTGCCACAGTAATATACTGTGCATTGGTACACAAAGGTAATACTGTGTATTACATTAAGGTGCTGGTTTGAGTTTTCATGGATAAAAAATGAATAAACTGTACATGGAATATATATATGATGTTATGTAATGATAAACAAAAAGATAAACATTACACTACATAAACATTTCTGTAGAGACACAAAGCATACGGCTCGATAATGTTGTTTTGCTTACTGCATATTTCTGTTAACATCAATATTTATTGCTTTGCATGGTGTGTGCGTCTTTGCTGCATGTTTTAATACCTGATAATACTATATAGTGAATGCATAATGATTTTCATTATCGACCTACAGGCTTATAACCTATTAAAAATGTGTAATCTCATATTCTTTTTTATTGTAGCAATGTTATTATATATATATTATATTATATATATGTGTGTACTGTTCCTATTAGATAAACTAATACGTTTTACATTTATTTTTTAAGTGGGCCACATTTCCTTAGCTTTGTGGTTTAGAGCATAGCCTATTTCAGCCAATAATTAATATAATAACCATAATTCATTTTAGCTCTTGGATAAAGATTAAACCAAAGTCTGATGATGTTTAAGCATTTAATTGATTTACAAGTCAGAGCTCTGGTGGTGTATAAATACTAAGTGCATCCATATTTAACTTATTTAAACACCCATATGCTTTTGTTTGCAATATATTTCGAGGCAACTTTATCTTCAGGACTGAAAACTGCTTTTTAACAGCTTTGTGTTAAATGCTTTTTTTTTGTGGTTAGTGCGATAAAAAAAAAACAGGAAACTAAATAATTTAAATAGAGGAATAGAAAATGTCCACTTTGCAAAGAGGATGCTTGTTGTTGTTGTTGTTGTTGTTTTAATGGCTGTGTAGACCATCAGTTACACACACCATCTTTGGCTGAATGCCGCCTCCCAGTGGCCTTTGCGAAAAGTTTTTTTTTCCTGTGGCCGCGTTCCAAACTGATTACACTGTATCCTCCAACACTACGAATGTTTTTTTTTTTACGCTTAATTTATTTTAAAAAATATCTGTTTTCAATTGATCCACGTATCTATACTAAAACATTAAAACAAAATGTGACAAAAAAAATAAAAAAAATAAAGACACTCAAACGCCGGTTTGCGGCGAAAGCGCACAGCCTCGCGCGTCGACCGTTACCGTTAACCCGCGCGCACGAGCTTTAAAAGGACCCTCAGAAAAAGAACGCGCGCGCCCGAGCTGTTGCGAGGGGCGATCGAATCGGGGCCGCGCGCGCAAGGCAAAGGCTCGACGATCATCACAGAGTCGTCACGTCACGGATCCGCAGCGACCGACAGAGATGCTGAGGTGACAGGCAGAAGGAGAACAGGGACGACCGCACTCAGACATATTTCCCCCGTCCGCTCGCTCGTTTGCCGCTGACCGCCGACTCGACCGCCGCCGCCGCCGCCGCTTCCTATGGACGCTTCTCCCGCTATGGGATTCCGCTCGATGTCCCCGCCGCCTCCAAACGTAGAGGATCTTTTCTAACCACACCCGGCTCTTCTTCGGATCAAGCATTGGCAGCAAAAGACCCGAGGTAAGGATCCAGAATCCCGAGGCCGTGCTACGGAGCCCTCCTCCTCCTCCTCCTCCTCCTCCTTCTTCCTCCTCTTCCCTTTCCACCGACCCCATAACATGCCCATTCTTTTGTCGCGCCTGCAGCTGCATGCGTTAGGGGGTTTGTTGTCCCTTTTACAGCATAAACCCTCCTACACGCCAGGGCCAGGGGAGGAGGTTGCGTGTGGCCTGTGGACGGCCAAGTGTGCGTGGACGCGCCTGAGTAAATCTGCTGTGGCAACCAAAACTCGCTATGCAACAAGCCTTAAAAAAAAACCAAAAAAAAAAA